GTGCTCAGTCTGTCTGTGCCTTTACCTCGGTCGGGTAGGCCTGTGATCGCAGCATCGAACTGGTCCACTGTCCACTGTGTGGCAGTGGTTTGCAATGCATGCTCACGTAGGTATCGCAGGAGGCGCTGCTGGTCGTCATGCGATTCACGTTGGTCGCCCCAGATCTGTCTACAGGTCGATGCTTTGAGATCCAGTCGCTCCACAGTAGATCCTGCGTTGCCTTCATCTTCATCAAATTCGTCTTCATGTCTGGGTCGTGGTTTGGCCATGCGGTGCATCATGCCGTTGTCGCAGTCGTCTGCCAACCAACGCGCGTACTCCTAACCGCTGCGACGCAGCTCATATCTGAGTGCCTGATTCGCCTCCTCCGCTGCTTGTAGGGCCATACCTTCTATCACTTCCACTTCTAGTACTGACATGTCTGCAAGCCGATCCCGCCAGGTGGCACGGTGGAGTCTGGCCGTCGCTGACGCTGCCGCGCCAACTGAGGGTACTCCATCCAAGGCCAGCCTTCTGCAGCATGTCTCCAATGAAGAGATTTCGCTCTGCCCGGCTTGGCGTCGTTTGAGCTTGGCAAGTGTTGTGGTAGCGGTCTCGGCCCTGGCCCACCAAGTTGCTGAGTGCGCGCTATATATCATACGTCGCTGGCCTTTGTTCCTTTTGCTCGACGTTCTTCAGCTCATACTGCGCGCCTCTCCCGCGGAAAAGCTGCTGATCTTTGTCGCAGATCTTGTAGGCTCGGCAGTAGAAGCTCTCAGTGTGGTGTGCAGTTTTCTGAAAGCTTGCTCCTGCACGGACGGCTGCCTCTGGGGCCGCTCTGAAGGTGGCGCTGTCCGTGATGTATGACGGTGGCTCGGCTGCTGCGGCATGTTGCTCGGCTGCAACCTCAGCCCACATGTCATCCATCGTGCGCGTGCCCTGATCAGGGACCTGGAATGGTGATGGCCTCTCGTCTCTCTGGTTTGCCTTGGCCTCGTGCTCTGCCTCGCTGTCCTCCGCGTTGGCAGGGGCCACTGGCTGAGGTATTTGTAGCTCGGGCTCCTGAAGCGGCATGTCCTCGTCTGAGTCTGAGAACATGTGGTCAAGATCAGTCATGGGGTCGAGCTCAGCGTCTAAACTTGTGCTCTTGGCTGGGGGTGTTTGTGCTGGTTGTGTGTCCGCTTGTGCTTGCTCTGGGTACGTCATCCATCCCGTTGGCGCGATGGCTTCCCATCTCGCCGCTACCAGCTGGGCGCAGTCAGGTTGTGCTGCAGGGGTCGGCTGATGTCGGGTGGGACGCTGCGCTAGAGCTTGCTGTCGTTTGCTGGGCGGGTCGGGTGGCTTGGGTGGAAGCTTAGGGTGCTTGAACGGCAGTGGCATGTGCAGCTGTCGAACGATGTTGTACCTGAGCTCCCCACGCAAGATGAGCCTCTGCCCTATGTGAGGCCCCCATGGTACGTCACTGACAGGCTTCACTCCGACAGTGTGTTGTTGTGCTCACGGGCTGGCAATAAAGTAATCCATCTGCGATGGTGGGCTGTCCTTCTTGAAGCACGTGTGCGCATTGCCCTCGAGTGTGAGTGTGCGTCCGTCTCCTAGCGCCTCTGGCCAGCCTGCTGCTGCGAATTCGGTTCGGTTCGGGGGGGGGGGGGGGGGGGGTTATTGAAGTCACCCGCCAACCCATGGGATATTCAACGTGCTCAAAAATTGTCTGATTGCTTTTACTATGTCTGCATTCGGCCCCGTTCTGAGTGGCTTGTGGCACTCGAGGTGCAAGCTGATGGCCACGATTGAGTAACCACGCATATGCCACACCATGGGTATCCAATCCTGGAAGGACAGGAGATCGGCTGAATCAGTACAAGGTTTGCCTGCCGTCGAGTGCGACACGCTGCCTTTCTTCCCAAGCTCGCGCAGGAACCTGGTGCAAAAGCGGTTCTTAGCAATCGCCGTCACACCTCCATGAGATCCCTTCACTGAGGCCTTCGACTGTCGTGCTGAAGTGAAGCATGCTTTTAGACCCAACTTGGCGAGAGAGGCTTCTGCATCCTCGAGCTCCTCGAACTTGAGGTGCGTCTCCTGTAGGAGGTACCCGTCGCACAGTGGCCGCTGATCCCGTCGACACTGTAGCGTTCCCCTAAGCCACTTCTCCGCCTGTGGTCCCCGCGTGGTAATATTGCCAACAAATATTGAGATCTGCTCAGGGGTGGCCGAGCGGTTGGCTGTCATGCCACCCCGCAGCTGTTTCTAGTTGGGCACTGCAGCAGGCAACTTCCCCTCGCGGGTCTGGCGGAGGAGCTCGTCACGCTGCTCTGGTGTTGTAAGGGTCCCTTCAGCTGGTGTCGGCACTGGTGTACTCGATGGCGCGCATGCCGATGCTGCTGAAGATGCGACTGTCTGCTGCTACTGCTGCTGTAGCTGGTCCGTGGTCTTGCGCTTCTTGGCCTCCCTGAGCCTTGTCGCATCTGCCATGGCCTTCGCCTTGGCTTCGTCAATGCGCGCCTTGATCTGGCCCGCGTAGGATTGCGCTCCCGCCTGTAGGTCTCTGATGGCTGCCTGCTTGGCCGCCAAGATCTCCGTCTTCAACTCCTCGTCCTCGTCGCCCTGCAGCACGTCCTCTAACTCTAGGTCGATGACCCCGTTCTGCTGCAGCTCGTGCTCGGAGGAGTTCAGGAGCTGCTCCATGAGACTCTTCGGCTTGTTCTCCATCATGATCTCGTTCAGGTGGGCCTTCGCTTGCTCGAGCGCTTTGCCTTTCTCGATCATGTCCTCGTACGCCTGCGTGACTTGTCCTTGCAATCTACTGTGCTCGTCGCAGGCCTTGTGGAACTCATTGTAGGCTACCTCCTGCGCCTTCGCCGCCGCTATGCATCGAAGCTCTGCAGGTTGTTGGGGCCGAAGTGGTTGGAGCGTCTGGGCTAGTGTCGTCAGCTGTGCCCCCAGCGCTGTCACCGCTGTGTTGGCACCCAGTCCCATCTCTTGGAGCTGCTGGCCTAGCGTTGACATCAACTTGGCCATCTCCTGGGTCTGGTGCTGGTTGCTGCTGCTGCTGCTGGTGTCGCCGCTCTGCTGGCGCTCTTGCTCTTTGACATAGTTCGGCTTTTCGACCAGCTTGTTGCAGTGCCAGCATTTCCGTCCATTCTTGGCCAGTGTGGTATCGTAGGTCCACTTGCTGCAGCTGCGGCACACTGTGTACTGTGCACCTCCACGGCGCGCCATCACACCGACGTTGATGCTCGGCGGGGAGCTCCCGTGGTGCTGCAGAAGTCTCTGTAGGTCAGCTGTCGCCCGCAGGCGGCGCCGCGATGCAGCGCGCTGGCGCCGCTCCTTGCGGTGCCACGCGGGCGATGGAGGCCGCTCTCGGCCTCGGCGGCCCTCCGTGGGGCCTGGGGGTTCCCGTATGGCGCGGGCCGCCGCCGCGCGCCGCCCCCCGGGGCAAAATGCTGCGCGGGGGCGGGGCGGGGCCACGCTGGGGAGCCACCTGGGAGGAGGAGGAGGAGGAGGAGGAGGAGGAGGAGGAGGAGGAGGAGGAGGAGGAGGAGGAGGAGGGAGGAGAGGAGGAGGAGGAGGAGGAGGAGGAGGGAGGAAGAGGAGGAGGAGGAGGAGAAGGCGGAGGAGGAGGATCAGGGAGGGAAGGAGAGAGAGAGAGGGAGGGGGGGAGGAGAGGAGGAGGAGGAGGAGGAGGAGGAGGAGGAGGAGGAGGAAGAGGAGGAGGAGATAGCATTCAGTGGGGATGTTCGTCTTCCTGACCGCCGCCTACCTTTACCCTGAGGTGGGAAAATGACACAAATCTAGACGGTATCTCCTTGTAAGATGCGACGAGCGCTGGCCGAGCAACCCGCAATGGTCCTGGAACGGGCCCGAAGGGAACGACGCGCAAGAGTCGAATCCGGCAACCCTCTTACATGGAGCAGGTTGAAAGTGGACAAGGTCAGATCTAGGGCAATGGCAATAGAGCTGACAGCAGTACTAGACAGGGAGATGGGGATGCCAAACAGCCAAGCACTAACATCACCAGTGGCCCAAGATTGGGGGAGATGGGGCAGAAGGGCACTCACGGCAGGTTGAAAAGCAGGGCAACGAAGATAATGACGAAGGGTGTCACCTCCAAAGGCGCAACATCCGAAGAGACAACTTTGGGTACCTGATCTATAGCTGGACGTCGTATTCCAGCAATTGCACATAGTCTTGAACACGGAAGCAAAGATGAAGGGGGGTAGAAGACGACCGACGATACACATACATCTCACCTGGCGGTCTACCATATCTTCAGTACATGCAGGGAAAAGTGCTTCATGCGTGAGAGGAGGACGAAATGGAGGAGGAGGAGGAGGAGGAGGAGGAGGAGGAGGAGGTGGAGGCGGAGGCGGAGGCGGAGGAGGAGGAGGCGAGAGGAGGAGGAGGAGGAGGAGGAGGAGGAGGAGGAGATGGTAGGGGAGGAGGTGGGGAAAGAAGAGGGAGGGGGTCCGGGACCGAGGGAAGGGATGGGAGGGAGGGAGGGAGGAGGGAGAGGAGGGGATGGGAGGGGAAGGATGAGGGAGGAAAGGGGAAGGAGGGTGGGAGGGACAGAGGGGTGGAGGGCGCAAGGCAATTCACATTTCCACGCCTGCCCCGCTGCTGCCAAGCCCCGACCGGATCTTGCGCCCTCGCGCGCACCGCTCACCCCCGAGGGCAGCCGCCACCTGCGGACCCGAGCCCGCGGGCAGCAGAAACTGCTGCGGCTGCGTCTTGCGGCTCGGTCTCGGGAGAAGAGAGAGGGATCATGATAAGGGTCAGGAGGAGAAGGAGGGAGGAGGGAGCAGGAGGACGAAGAGGAGGATGTGGAGCGTGGCAGAAGAAGTGGGCAGTGGGGTTCATTCCTCCTCGCCCCTCCTCCTATATCCTCCTCCATCCTCCTTGATTTTCCTCCTCTTCCTCCTCGTCCTCCATCTCCTCCCCCATCCTCCCCTATCCTTCTCCTCCTCCTCCTCCTCCTCCTCCTCCTCCATCCTCCCCCATCCTCATCCATCCTCCTCCTCCTCCGTCGAGGGGACTGCCCACAGGGCGGCAGTGCAAAGAAGGACACCCGATGCAGGGGCAGTCGCAACGTATCGCTCCCACAGAGGCAGCTAAAGCCGCGTTCCGGCCTCAGACCTTGATCTTGCTCTCGCACACGAAGTGGACATTGGCGAAATCGTACTGGATCTCTGCGCCCACGGTGACATTTGCCGCCAGTTTCAGGTCAACAGAATACCAAATGCCGCTTTCGCTCCACTTGCACCTGGGGGCTTTTCATTCATGATTTCCCTCCTTCCCTGCCCCGCCCCTGCCCTCCCCAAACCTATCGTCCTTCCCCCCCTCTTGCTCCCCCCCCCGCACTTGGATCCGCCCCTTCCGGTGGGCAGACTTTAGGGCAGCAGCATCGACAGCAGTAAGCAAGGGGGGCAAGCCCTGAACATTACATATTGTGACCGTTGTTTGCTTTCTCGTGAAGACGCAGGATGGGAATTTACAGTGCAGCCTCTTGTGGAAGGAAACGCCGCGCAGAGCCTTGTAGTCTCTTCGAACCAGATTTCGTACTCGAGCGTCCCTTGACCATGTTAGCTTGCACGCGAGCTGAAACCTGCCCCTCTCCTTTCACACCCCCTACCCATTGTCCAGTGCGCAGTCTCGCATCCTCGTGGCCCTCACCTTCCCTGTCGATGGCGCCCTCCTCCTCCTTCTCCTCCTCCTCCTCCTCCTCCTGCTCCTCCTCCTCCTCTTCCTCGTCCGCGTCCTCGTCCTCATCGTCGTCGTCGTCGTCCGCCTCCTCCTCCTCCTCCTCTTCCTCCTCCTCCACCTTCTCCCTCTTCCTCCTCCTCCTCCTCGTCCTCCTCCTCCTCTTTCTCCACATTATCCTTACATCCTCTCCTGTTCCGCGTCCTCCGCGTCCCCTGTTTACTCCTCTGCTTCGCCAATCTTTCTCAAGATAACAGCAAACCAATCGCTTGTTCCACCGAGTGCTCCCCGACCTCTCTGATCCAGGCAACTCGTCAGGGTAAAATTGCTGGATGGGCTGGTGTGGATGACCGGAGCTAGAAGAGGTCTTGGGGAGCTCAGACGGCATGCAGAACCCGCCGCCGCGTTTGTGCGGCACTGGCGTGCTGTGTAGTAGGGTTCGTAGACGCCCCCCTCAAGAGGGTCCTTGAGCGCCCCGAGGCCCCTTAATTGTGGGCGCCTTGAGGCAGCTTCCCCTGAATCCAGGTTTTGGGCACGGATGCCGAATTGCAGCAGCCCCGCCGCAGGCGCCGATGTGCTGTTGTAGAGTCAAGGTGGGCCAGATCGGGGGAATGGCACGAGGGCGCTTTCCCAAACCAGTGCGAGCAAGACCGCCGCAGGCGCCGATTTGCGTGCTCTGACAAGTTCAGCGCGGGGGGGATCGCTGGTGGGTCACCCGGAACGAATGCAAATACAGCCCGCCGCAGGCGCCGATTTTTTGGCTTGTTCAATGAACATAGTTATGGTCGCGAATGGGTCGCGGGCCCTCCACCCTCACCTGGAAGGAATTCAAAAACAGCCCGCCGCAGGCGCCGAAAATTTGGATTTGTATAATGAACGCGGTTTGGGTCGCAGGTTCTCCACCTGGAACGAATGCAAAAGAAACCCGCCGCAGGCGCCGAAGTTTTGGTTTGTTCAGTGAACGTAGTTTGGGTCGCGGGTGGGTCGCGGGCTCTCCACCTCCACCTAGAAGAAATTCAAAAGCAGCCCGCCGGAGGCGCCGACAATTTTGATTTGTACACTGAACGCGGTTTGGGTCGCGGGTGGGTCGCAGGTTCTCCACCTGGAACGAATGCAAAAAAGCCCGCCGCAAGCGCCGAAAACTTTAGGTGGGTCGCGGGGAGCGCGGGTTGGTCGAGGGTGGGTCGCGGTGGGTCGCGGGTGGGTCGCGGGCGCGGTTTGGGTCGCGAGGGTCGCAGGTTCTCCGCTTGGAACGAATGCAAAAGAAACCGCCGCAGGCGCCGAAAAATTTTGGGTGGGTCGCGGGGTCGCGGGTGGGTCGCGGGTGGGTCGCGGTGGGTCGCGGGGGGGTCGCGGGTGGGTCGCGGGTGGGTCGCAGTGGGTCGCGGTGGGTCGCGGGGTGGGTCGCGGGTGGGTCGCGGGTGTCGCGGGTGGTCGCGGGTGGGTCGGGGGGTCTCGGGGTGGTCGCGGGCGGGTCGCGGGGTGGGTCGCGGGGTGGGTCGCGGGGGGTCGCGGTGGGTCGCGGGGTGGGTCGCGGGGCGGGTCGCGGGGGGTCGCGGGTGGTTCGCGGGTGGGTCGCGGGGTGGGTCGCGGGCGGGTCGCGGGTGGGACGACGACAACAAAAAACAACAACAACAACAACAACAACAACAACAACCAACAACAACAACAACAACAGCAACAACAACAACAACAACAACAACACCAACACCAACACCACTAACAGCAACAACACCAACAACAACACCAACAACAACAACAACAAAGCAAAGGCGGCCTGCGCCGACCCGGCACGGGTCCCCCCCGGCAACAACCACAACAACGACCCCCCCCACCCAACACCACAACAACGCCGTTTAAATTCGATTTCTCTGAACATCTGCGGACCTCCTCTCTGGCACCAGCGAATTTCTGCCAGCAAAAAGCATGTGTGCACCGGCGACGCGAGGAATTCCCAGGAATCCTTCGAATTCCTTTCGAATTCCTAGGAATACTTTCGAATTCCTAGGAATCCCTCTTGCAACTCGATGCAACTCGAGCCCACCGCTGCGGTGAATGGGGCGGCCATACGGCCATCAGACAATCAACCAGCCAACCGAGCCGCCGAAGGTGAACGGCCGCGCCCTCCTCGTCGTCGTCCTTCTCCTCCTCCTCCTCATGTTCCTCCTCCTCCTGCTTTTCCTCATCATGCCTTCCTCTTCCCCATCATCCACCACCACCTTCTCCTCTTCCTCCCTCCTCATATTTATCCCCCTCTTCCTCGTGTTCTTGCTGCTGCTGCTCTCCCCCCTCATCCTGATGCCCCTCCCTTCCTCCTCCTGCTTGCGCCCCCCCTCAGAAGCTCGCGCTCAGAATTCCTAGGAATCCTTCGGGATTCCTAGGAATCTTTCGGAATTCCTAGGGATCCTTCGGAATTCCTAGGAATCCTGTGGAATTCTTGAAAATGCTTCGAATTCCTAGGAATCCTTAGGAATTCCTTGGAATCCTTCGGAATTGCTACGGATCCTGAGGAAGTCCTGGGAATCCTTAGGAATTCCAAGGAATCCTTAGGAATTCCTAAGAATTCCTAAGAATCCTTAGGAATCCTCTGAAATTCCTGGGAATCCTTAGGAATTCTCAGGAATCCTTAGGAATTCCTAGAACCCTTAGGAATTCCCAGGAATTCTTAGGAATGCTTAGAAATTCCTTGGAATCCTTAGGAATTCGTAGGAATCCGCTGGAATTCCGAAGGGGTCCTTAGGAATTCCTAGGAATCCCGAGGAATTCATGGGAATCCTTAGGAATTCCTAGGAGTGCTTCGGAATTCCCAGGAATCCTTAAGAATCCTTTTGGAATTCATAGGAATCCTTCGGAATTCCTAAGGGTCCTTCGGAATTCCTGAGGATCCTTTTGGAATTCCAAAGAATTCCAAAGAATTCCTAGGAATCCTAAGGAATTCCTAGGAATCCTGAGGAATTCCTGGGAATCCTTAGCAATTCTTAGGACTCCTTCGGAATTCCTAGGAATCCTTAGGAAGTCATAGGAATCCTTAGGAATTCGTGGGAATCCTTGAAATTCCTAGGAATCCTTCGGAGTTCCTAGGGGATCCTTTGGAATCCGGTGGAGTTCCTCAGAATTCCTAGAAATCCTCAGGACTTCCTAGGCATCATTAGGACCTCATAGGCAACCTTAGGAATTCCGGTTGTTGTGAGTGTTGTGTGTGGGGGGTGTTGTGGGTCACGGGTCGGGGCGCCCCGTCCTTACTACTACTACTACTACTACTACTACTACTACTACTACTACTACTACTACTACTACTACTACTACTACTACTACTACTACTACTACTACTACTACTACTACTATTCCTACTCCTACTCCTATTCCTATCCTTATTCCTTATTAGAATATACTCCTACGCCCCCCTCAGGCCGGCCATTAGGGGCCGCATCCGGGTGGTCCCATCCTAACCTGTAAAAAACAATACAAAATCAACATGTTTCTTATTTTTTCCTCTCGACATGGACGTCCTGTCGTCCACGGCGATAATCCATTGCAAAAAATACCACAAAGAGCACACGCGCGCGTTCATGTCAGAATCCTACCGAACACCGTGTGTTTGCAAGCATTTCAACATAAAAACATCAAAAACCCAATGCTTTTTTTTCACAAAAATTGTACAAATTTCCCGCCCGGGCTCTCTTGCTGAAATCATAGGAAAACCATAGGAATCTTAAGAATTCTGTCAAATCCAGCGATTTCACGTCATCGCGCGGTGCACTCGCGATGCTCTGTCATGCACCCAGGCCGCGAATCCTGTGCAAAAAATACCACAAAGAGCACACTCGCGCGTTCATGTCAGAATCCTACCGAACACCGTGTGTTTGCAAGCATTTCAACATAAAAACATCAAAAACCCAATGCTTTTTCACAAAAATGCTTTGGGGTGTCCTGTCAGACCGTCGGGCTTCCTCCGGCCACCTCTGGCTTCCTGCGGTGTACCGGGCCATTCTCGACTCGTCTGGCAATGCGTGCGCGGCATTCAACACGCGCTCGCCAGTTCCCGTCGGCAACCGCCATCGCGGCCGCATCAGCTGTACCAAACCGGCTGGCCGGTGTGACTTCGGCCCCCAGTTGTGCCAGCTTTGCTTCTTATGTTGTGGGAGGGCGGGTGGGACTGGGCATGCCATGCTTGACTCGCTCGAGCTGGCTAGCTTGACTCCTACTCCTACTCCTACTCCTTATTCTTTATTAGAATATACTCCTACTCCCCCCTCAGGCCGGCAGATAGCGGGCGCATCCGGGTGGTCCCATCCTAACCTGTAAAAAACAATACAAAATCAACATTTTTCTTATTTTTTCCTCTCGACATGGACGTCCCTGTCGTCCACGGCGATAATCCATTGCAAAAAATACCACAAAGAGCACACGCGCGCGTTCATGTCAGAATCCTACCGAACACCGTGTGTTTGCAAGCATTTCAACATAAAAACATCAAAAACCCAATGCTTTTTCACAAAAATTGTACAAATTTCCCGCCCGTGCTCTCTTGCTGAAATCATAGGAGAACCATAGGAATCTTAA